GGTTGCTCGTTAGGAAACCCTAGACCAGCCAGGATAGGGGCAATCCTCAGGAACAACTCTGGCACTTCACTGGCTTCCCTATCCAAATCCATTGGACATTCTGATTCAATGGAGGCAGAAGCAACTGCTCTTCTTGAAGGCCTCAAACTTTGCGTTCCTTACCTATCGGAGCCTCTCATAATTGAAGGAGACTCAAAAAATGTTATTGCTTGGGCCTCTAAATTTTCTCCTCCTCCTTGGAACTTGGCACACATTTTTGATGAGATTCACTATATTTGCAGGGATATGTGCGCCTCATGGAGGCATATTTGGAGTGAAGGAAATTAGGCAGCAGACACTCTAGCTACAGATGGAGCAGCTTTAGTTCACGTTTAATTTTTGGGATCGATATCTTTTTTATGGTTGCTTTGTTTCTGTCAATGTAACTACTAAAAAGATGTTTTTTGGATTCTAATCTCTCTCACGCCCTTTTCATAAGGGTTCTGTTAGCTTTCCGCCTATGGAAAAGCACTTCTCTTCTTCTCTTTGTACTCCCCCTTATACTCTATAAAAGTCAACATTATCAAAAAAAAAAAGAAGGAAAAAATCACTTAAATCCCGAAGTGAAACACTAAAAAATGTTTAGGCTTATGCTTCCAGTTTATAAAAAAAATAATTGGCAAAAAGATGTTTTTTGGCAATCTCTCTCTCTCACCCCCCTTAGCATAAGGGTTATGTTTGCCTTCCATCTGTGGAAGTGCACTTTCTCTTTACCTCTACACTCTCCCCGTTATATATATAACAACTTTTTCAAAAATAGGATAAAATAATTGATTGCTATAACATGCTGCATATTCATTAAATCATGAATTTGTACGTTTGTAGATTTGTGTACTTTTGTGCAGCTAACAACTCCATTATGTGATTGTGTTCTGATGGATGGCTTCATAGTTTATGAACTGATTTTTATTTGTGTTGCTTATTTGATGAATCATGGTCTCTCTGTATTTCTAATTTAGATTGTGATGAGCATTGTTTGCAAAATCGCCTGATCTAACCGTTAACCTCCCGGTTAGATCGGAACCGTCCGGTTTTGGGCGGTTAGGGTGATCAATCGGTATTTAAACAAAGAAATTCATAAAGATGTATATAAATTCTCAAAAATAAGGAATTTGATTTGTAATGCATTTTTAAATATTCTTTACATTATTGTAAAGATTAAAAATTGTTTGGTCATTAATACTAACTTTTATATTTTCTCATCTTTTAATTTTTTTTTAAAATAGCCATTGAAAAATATGAAATGGGTTAAAATCCATTTTTTTTCATTCATTTTCAACTTCATTTGAATGTGTTTTGTTTTAATCATTCTTTATATGCTTTTCATATTTTAGTAGATATTTTTTAGTCTTTTATTTTTCTATTTTTTTCAACACTTTTTTGACCGCCCGGGACTTTGCCTTGTTAGAGCGGTTGAATCGGTCCGTTTACTGGTTAGGCCGGTTAAACCGCTTCCAGGCCCTTGTCCGGTTAACCGTTCCAGTTCGATTTTGTGAACACTGGTGATGAGGACATCATGTGACGGATGAATAGTATGTTTGATGGAGGGGAAAGTTATTTTTTTTTTTTTTAATTACATTATAAAGGATGTATATTATACTTTTAGTTTTAGGGTTTTTTTCCTAGGGTTTTTAGTTTTTTAGGAATTCTAGGGTTTTTATATTTTTTATTTATTTCATGAGTACTATTCAAAACTATTCATGAGTACTGTTTACATGTACTGTTCACAAGGGTAAAAGTGTCATTATGGAATTTAAGTTTAACTTTGGATATATAGTTATTTTAATCATGGTATGGAAATGTAATATCTTCGAACATTGAATTATAATATACCAGTAGCACGCACTTGCGTTGCAGGTATTATTTAAATGTTGAGCATAATTTAATTATGTTAGTGATATTTTGTTGGCAAAATAAATTGACAAAATCCAAGTCACCAAAATATAGTATGTACTAAAAATATTGAACTAAATTTTACATAAAACAAAAAGTGACGATTTCTCACTCATGCTGAGAGATAGAGGGGAGATTTATAAGTTTTACAAACTAACTTAGAATTTTGATTGTACATAAAATAATAGGCAATAGACCTTCAATGATGAATCTATAGTTGATCTGGAGGAATGTTATATACTAAATGAAGACATATAACGTATGGATGATATTATTGTGCTTATAATTAATTCAATTATAAGTATATTTAGTTCTTAAATTAGTTATTATTACAACTCATAAAAATGAATCATCATCATCATCATCATTTTTCCCAATTAATGGGGGTCGGCTACACAAATCCTGGTCCGCCATTCTGCACTATTAAAGGCCATACTCTCAATGAGGCCATAAGTCCCTATATCTTTCCGAACTACTTCCAACCACATCCTTTTCGGCCTATCCCGTGCCCTTTTGAGTCTTTCACTTGAACTAATTCGCACTTCTTAACAGGTGTTGTATTTGATCGGTACCACACATGGCCAGTCCACTTAAGCTTACATTCTCCCGAATGGATTCATTTCAAATTCTATCCTTTCTTGTTTTGCCACTCATCCATCTCAACGTCCTCATCTCCGCTACACTCATTCTGTGGGTATATTGTTTTTTGTCCGTCCAACATTCAGGCCCCCGTAGAGCACACATAAAATTCCAGTTACACATCTCCACTTCGCCCACCCAGCTCTAATTTTGTGTGCGACATCTTCCTCAATCTTTCTATTTTCTTGGATTATTGACCCAAGATAATCTACATTACAATATTATGTTCACAATTCTATAAATTTGTATATAATTATCCATTTTTTACAATATAACTCATCAATAATAATTAATTATGCAAACTAATATATTTGTTATATTAAGTGTTAGTATTCAACTCATAAAAATGAATACTAACACTTCATATAATGAATATATTAGTTTGCATTAATTAATTATTATTGATGAGTTATATTACAAAAAATGGATAGTTATATACAAATTTATATAATTGTGAACGTTATTTAGTAATGTAGATTATAAATATTTCACTTAATCTTTTCTAAACTTAAAATCGTATCATAATTATAATAAAGAAAACCCCACTAGGGCTTGTAATACTAAACAATCCCTTAGAAAATAAGAAAATATACATGAAACAAATAATTATAATCTTATACTTATTAAAATATAATTACATAAGTATACGTAAGTGATCACAACAGAGTTATAATATCAATTATGATTATGATTGTTTATATAATTAATATAATACTCATAGCTCTATAAAAATAATAGTTAATATTCTTAATATTTTTTATTTCTATTGTAATAATTTAATTTACCATATTAATTAAGAAATATAAGGAATTAACATAATGTAAATAATTAAATTTAATCATATTAATTATTATGATTGAACTATAAAATAGTTGCATTACTTATCATATTAGTTATTATTATTGAACTATACACAACTTTTGTATAGTGGCAATAAATAGGGGGGATATTTCCCACAACTAACTTAGAGAGAGATAGAGAGAGTTCCTACATAGGGATTGTATGTGAGAGAGAATACCCTCACCTAGATGATAGATTGATTTAGAATAAAAAAAATTGGCAAAATCTAGTAGGTATTAATTTTAGGAGGTTTGAGCTAAAAAATAGGAAATAATTTACAGTTCAAAAAAAAAAAAAGGAAATAATTTTGGGAGGCCATGCACTTCCAAATTTTAGTTGAAGGTTCGAATTAAAAAATAAGAAAATTTTGGGGGACCTGCGCTTCCAAAGTTTAGGAAAGGGTGAGATCCCGAAAATTAGAAATATATTTGTCTTGGGAGATTTTGAAAAACAGGGAAAATTTTTAGGGGTGCGCACTTGTACCCATAAATTTTAGGAAAAGTGGGATTTATCTTGGCAAGTTTAAAGGATAAAGGAAAATTTTTTGGGGGAGAACTTGCACGTCCAAATTTAGGAATGAGTGGACTCTCACCGCAAGGATGGGATTTGCACGCCCAAATTTTAGGATGCGATAACTCTCGCTTAATATTTTAGTATAGTATTTAGATAAGAGGTATGTAGGGCCTTGATAGGGTCAATTCTAAAAGAGAAAAGCTTAGGGTCGGCTTTTTAATATTTTAGTATAGTATTTAGATAAGAGGTATGTAGGGCTTTGAGAGGGTCAATTCTAAAAGAGAAAAGCCTAGGGTCGGCTTTTTAATATTTTAGTATAGTATTTAGATAAGAGGTATGTAGGGCCATGAGAGGGTCAATTCTAAAAGAGAAAAGCCTAGGGTCGGTTTTTGGACCGTTACCTTGGGGTATAGTATTTAGATAAGAGGTATGTAGGTGAGAGGGTCTATTCTAAAAGAGAAAAGCTTGGGCTTGCTTGGGGTATGGAAAAGAAACCTAGTTTTTTTTTTACTTGTGTTTGTGTTTGGTTTGTTCCTTACTGTTCCCTCAAATTTCCCTGCATCAATATTATTCCATATCTTTATATGGTTCCTCTAATTCTTCTTTTCTCCTTGTTTTTCCGAACAATATATTTTTATGCATCTCAATCTGTTTGTTGCTTTTACTTCTCACGTGCCTCTGTCCAATTATGCTTTGCTTCCCTTTTCCAGAATCTTGGTTGTATTATTGATCTGCTCTAACTCAAAACAATATGAAACCAGACTCAGGATTGCCATCTTCTTTGGTTCAATGGGAACATATGGAATACAATTGATCCTCTAGTATGCTATAATGCATGTTTACCTTCTGACTCTTTTCTTTAATAATGTGGTAGTGTCTTGACTGGTGATAGTGAATGATTGACTTCCTGGTCACCAATAATTAAATTAATCTAGATGTTATCTGCATCATTATTTCAGTGTTGTTTTTAATTATGTGGAAACTTCTCACTCTAATGCTGGGCCTAGCATGTCAGTATTCAATGGACCCATTAACTTTGTGGAATTTGAGCTTTTTTTTCTTTTTTCTTTGTATAGGGTACCTACTATAGGAGGCAAGGCACTGGATCTGCATCGACTATTTCTAGAGGTCACTTCTCGTGGTGGCCTTGAGAAGGTATTACATCTTGGCACATGAAAATCTTAGTGTGGAATTTCACGTGTATACTTGCTTTATGACTTCACGGCATCAAAATTTTCAAGCAGTTAGCAGCTTATTAAACCTGATAATTGATGCAATGCATCAGCTCGGATAAAGACAGAGGGGATATTTTGTACTGAAATCTCGACAATCATTAGGAGATGATTCCCTTGCGGGAGACCTCCTGGGAACACCACTCTTTTGGTCTTTTATTACTCTTTCCAGCTGATGGTAGCTCGTCCTAGGGCTTCACAGTGAACTTTATAAAATATTTTACCATTGGGCATGTGTCCAGGATTTGAAATTGTTTTATCCTCTGGTTTCAGGCATAGGAAGTTGTTTATGCTGCAGTCACAAATCAATGTACCATTTTCTATCGACAAGGATTTTATTGATAGTGAGGAGTACAGGAGGGAAAACAAATAAAAAAATGGAAATTTGTGTAGTTTCTTAGCAAAATTATTTGCACTCCAGATAGTTTGCACCACACAGTTACCTTGTATGGACATTACTTGTGTCATTAGTGCATGAGGCTTACTTTTGGAAGGCATCCATGTTTGTCAGCAATCTAAATATTCTCATAATCTGGACATTCATGAGTACGTTATCTGGAGTTTATTTGTGTCTTTGGTGTGTCGGGGCTATTCTTGATGGGGCAGCCATGCTTGCAAACCTCTAAATTACTCTAAATTTTGTGATATTCATGATCGATGTTCCATGTGAGATGATTTGTTTCATCAAAATGTGAAATGAGGGAACTGACCCATGATTGATTTTATCGTACTTCTAGGAGAACATTGAAGGACCATACGTAACTGGAAAACTGAATCCAACACTGTGATAAGATAGTCATCAGCATAAAATTGCGCGGGATTTGGTTTTAATAAAGCAGTGACTAACAAATTATCGGTCATTAGATTAATGAAGAAGCACTGTGAAATTAGAGATGGAGTGTTCCCTTGACAAGAACCTTGAGAAACCTCTACTTTATGCTTCCTAAATCATATAAGTTTCTTGTGTATTGCTCTATTCGGAGGCCTTTTCTTTTTCCTCAAGATTTGACTAATTGAATAACGAACAATGCTTTGATAACATGCAATGGCAGTTTTATTTGGGCGTTTCTGTTGTCCCCTCTGATCATGTCTGGTTGAAAATGGCTTACTTTTTTGTTGCTCTTGCTGTGGCTTTTGACAGGTGATCAGGGATAGGAAATGGAGGGATGTGATTGCTCTTTTCCAGTTCCCTTCAACTATTACCAGTGCATCTTTCGTCCTTAGAAAATACTACATTTCCTTGCTTCACCACTACGAGCAAGTTTATTTCTTTCGGGCACAAGGCTTTCCAGTTCCAGACATGGGTATTTTTCTATCTTAATAGTTATGGGATATATAACTGTTCAACAAAGTGATGGGTGCTGGATAGAAAGAGGGAGCAGGACCCATCAGTAGAGGACATGACCCAATGGTGGCGCCTCTCTCTCTCTCTCTCTCTCTCCTCACCCCCTCTCCTTCTCGCCCTCCCTTCCCTCTCTTTCTCTCTCTTCTCTCTCCCTCTCTCTCCACTGTCCATTTCATTGGATGGTGATGACCCAACTGGATTATGGTTTAGATTATAGTATACTTCCCCATTCGTTACAAATCCATTTTCATGTATTGCTCTCAGTTTCTTCATGTTCTTATGTTCTTCTGCAATCGTTGTGTTTGTTTTATGCTAATTTTTTGTTCTCTGATCAGGAGATAGTGAAAGTTCACATGAACAGTCTCCGCAGGTTCAGTCCACACCGCAGGTTCAGTCCACACCACGATCCCAGGACAGAAGCATCATTAAGAATATCAGTAAGTATTCACGCTTGATTCTTTTTAATGGGAATATGCTTTGGATTATAGTGTACTTCCCCGTTCATTACAAACTCTTTGCTCATTTTATTTACTATAATACCTTAAAAGTCTAGGATTATAATTCCTATTGGGATATTTTATTCCATCCCTGAAGAATGCATAACTAACCGGGTATTTACAGGATGAAGATTTTATAAATTTTTTAGAACAGAGTATGCTTGACCTGCACAATGTATATACACGTAAATTTTTGCATATTCATTCCTGTATATCTTTATGCTGTATATTGTGAAAAGGAAAGCATGCCATGGTCCACTGGATTATGGTGTATTGTATTTCAAGCTGCATCAACCATCTGTTGGCACTAATGGATGGTTGGAGATTAACTGGGGTTGATGTCCCCTGTGGGCTACACAGTTAATCTCCAATCATCTATCAGATTGGAAAGCGATGTAGCGTTTGAGTGCCATATATCATATTTATATCAAAGATAACCTTTTGAAAAATGAAAGTATTGAAAAAAATTGATCAATTTGTGATTTTGTGCTGATCAGAGTCCCCTCAACCAACTGTGGGTCACAATATAACTGGAGTCATAGATGGGAAATTCGAAAATGGGTATTTGGTTACTGTAAATATCGGGTCAGAGAAGCTCAAAGGGGTCCTGTATCATGCTCCGGTGAATTTTCCTGTGACCCAAAGCTTAAAAATTGATCGAAGGCGGCGTCGAAAAAAGTCGAGATTCTTAGACCCTTCTCGCCCAAAATCGAATAGGAGTGGCTATAATTTCTTCTTTGCTGAGCATTATGCGAGGCTGAAGCCATCTCATTCGGGACGGGAGAGGAGCATCAGCAAGAGGATTGGATTTCTCTGGAATAATCTGACTGATGATGAAAGAGCAGTAAGTGAAGATAATAGATGCGTGTGTGAATACTCATGTAATTTTATAGCTCAAAATTGGATTCATGCATGCATATGCATATATTATGAATGCATTGTGTTTCTCCATGTGTTTGTATATATATGTATATTACATACATATGCACGTTGATTTTGCTTGTTTACAGACAACTGATCCTTAACTTCTTTTACAGAAATAGTGACTTTTAAGGATAAATTATGTCAATGCATGTGTGTTTGTGCATGCATGTATTCGTATTGTATTACATTGGGTGTGTATATTTAACAGAAACACTAGCTTATAGACATCCTAAGATACACCAACTTCACAATTCAAACCCCAAATTACATATAACGTAATATGCATAGAGAAGGTCAGTTTTGCTATGATATTTTATCATTTTTCCATGGTCAACAGAGGCCACTATGTTAACAGTTCGGTTTCAAAATGGCACAGGTTTATCAGGAGAAAGGGGACAAAGACAGGGAAAGGTATCGGAATGAGATGGTCGAGTACAGGAAGAAAGCAGCTGTTTCTGAGCTCAAGAGATCTGAAAATCTGACTGCATGAGAGAGATAAAGAGAGAGAGAGAGGACTTATCCTCTCGAGCTCTTGTAGCTTTTCAGCAACACCACTCTTTTCTTCTCAGTTTGTTGTTCTTTCATATTTCTTATTTTCTTCTTTCATTTTCATTTCATTTCATTACACGGTTTGTTTTGGATTGATTTTGTATAGAGGAACAGAGAATGGGCAAAGAGGCTTATTCCAAAGAAAAAATGACATATTTTCCTCGAATTTTGAATGCTTACACTGCTTTTGGAAAATGGTTTTTCACAAGAGTCCTGGGCCTACTGGTTAATGCTTGAGCTTATAAAGAGTTAGATGATTGAAATAATCTTGGACGTACATTTTGGGCAGATAATTTAGATCGGTTGTCACTTTTATTTGCATTGATGTCTGTATTAACTCTGACATGGATACATGGTTATAGCCATAGATTCCCACATTCATGAGTGGGTCCATATTCCTTCTTGTACGTGCACGCATGCACTTATGCATCGTTCCATGGAGAAAGCATGCGTGCATGTTGGCATCGATGGGCACATACCGTTCGCAGTAACTCACAGTGCATGCATTCTTGATGTCCATCATCCATGAGTAAGGGAAACATTCACATGCATGTATGTAAAGCTACATATGCATCAGTTAAATTTGTATATGCTCAAATATAAACATACTCTTTTCATTAATTTACAAGGCATTCTGCTGTGAATCATGTTGACAAATACAAGATGTGGTCATGAGGTTCATCACCTTCCAATCAATGTGTTGGATGGTGGATGGATGGATATATCTCTCTCTCGAGCACCATATTGAATGGTTGTGACCCTTAGGACCATGTGTGGTCATGTGGACCGTATTACATTTTTCCATGCTCAGAGAGAGAGAGAGAGAGAGAGAGAGAGACTATGGTTTTGTTTAGACTGAGAGTATGCTGTTGAGTTCCACATGGGGTGTATAGATGTCTACGTCTTTTACATGAATAGATAAGTTAGGAGGGGGTCAACATTATGAGAGGGTCTACCTTTTCCATGTAGAAAGATAAGATAGAAAGGTGGTCTATATTTTCTCCACATGAGAGGGATAATTGTGGCCCTTAGGACCATATGTTGTCATGTGGACTGTATTGTACTTTCCTATGCTGAGCGAGAGAGAGAGAGAGAGAGAGAGAGAGAGAGAGACTGTGGTTTTGTTGAGAATATGCTGTAGAGTTCCACCTAGGGAGTATAGATGACTGCATCTTTTACATTGGATAGGTATGTTAGGAGGTGGCCTCCATTGTGAAAGAGTCCACATTTTCCATTTGGAATGATAAGATAGAAAATTGATCTATTTTCCACATGAGACAGGGAACATTTTTAATATTGATGGATGATAATAATAGAACGCGAACAGCTTCAATATGGATAGGCACGAATCATATGAGAGAGACAGGTCTACAGAGAGAGATTTGACTCGTGAGTTGCTCGAGTCAGACCGGATCGGCAGGCTGAATCGCCCGAGTTGGGCTGGGTTAATTGGAATCTGATCCCCATTTTGTATTTTGAATAATTGCTACAATGGAGGAACTGCAATATTATTTTTCCTCTAAAACTAGATAAAAAAATACACATTTGAGGTAGGGGTCCTAATTTTCTTTAAAAAAAAAAAAAAACTGACCAAAACAAACTTTAATTAATTTAATTTGGACATAAACAACTAAAGACTAATGAAAAGTATCTAGATAGTCTATAAATGTCTATTCTTCTCTTGCTAATAAAAATAAAATAAAATAAAGAAGTTGCACATCTTCGGGGCACATAATGAAAATGAATCGAGTATATTCATAATTTCTTTTTAAGATTTATTCTTGAAATCTTACTGTAAGAGTATTTGACATGACTTAAATCTTACACCCCCTTGCATTAAATGATGCATATCAAATGTGTTGTCTGGAAAAATTGATTGTGAAATTGGCATTTTCAAGACTCATATCACTTATTTGTTCTCTTATAAAACATGAGAATTTTCATAAATCTCTCTTTTTTTGTGGGGTTTAAAATGTTTCCTCAATACTTTTATGGTTTACACACGTCTTTGTTTCCTTTTTCTTTTTATTTTTTCAAAATAATCCCAAGTAAGCATTTCAAGAGCCAACCAGATATGAAGCTCAGGTCGGGGTAGCTCTTGTAGTCCCAACCACTTTGGCAGGCGTTCCAAATGCTAACTCGATTTGATTTGAAGTTAGATTGGTACATTAATTGCCAATACTGTGCTATAGATTTTCCACATGGTGGGTGAGAGAGAGAGAGACTGAAATAGAATATTTTAAAAACAAACTCAATCATTGAGGTTGGAACATGAGCTTCGGGTCGGGTTGATACTTTGGAGCCTTACAGCAAGCCCAAGGAAGAGGTCAGGCACTTCACTTGTTAATAGACCTGAGCTTTAAAGTCAGGTCTGTATTAAGAACCAATGTAGGGGTATTTTGGAAAAGATAAAAAGAAAAAGTAAAGAAGGGATGCATGAGAAAAATGTAAAAAATAAAAAAACAAATTTAAAGGATGAGGTTTATATAAGGTAGCGTCCTTATGGAAGTAAGCCAAGCTCTATTTTTTTAGAAGATGTAGTTTTAATGGCAAACACTTTATGATGGTTTGAAAATCTATTTTCATTTTTAATTATAAAATTTAAAATTTTAAAAATAGTATTGATGGAGCGGATCTATAGACATTTCAAAATATTAAAAACAGACTGTCTGGATAATTTGTCATAAGATGCAATACCTTTAAGATTTCAAATTATTATTTTTTCATATTCATATATCCCAAAGTCAAGATGATCAATTAAAGAGTTTCCAGCATCGAAACACTCCCTTATTGAGGATTTTTGAGATACATTATTTTGTTGACACTTTTTTTTTTTTTTTGACATGTTAAACTTTATATGCACTTTTTTATCTTTTAATTACAAAATTATATTTACAAAAGTTTCCCAACAAGATAAGACTCCAATATCGGGATTAAAAACTCAAATATAAAGAGTAAAGAAAAAAAAAAAAAAAAGTAAAAAGGAAAGGGAGGGGAGAGGAATCCTAGATATTTTATAATAAAAGGAAATTATTAGAGAACAACTGCCCCAAGAGGCCAGTAAGGGAATCTTACTTTTCGTTTCTATAATTTAATATTAATATCTATTCTTCTCTTTTTAATATTATTCTCTCTCTCGCTAAAAGACAATGAAAAGAATGAAAAAGGTCGTCTCTGAGTCCGAGGACGGATTTCTACATTTACGTTCTCCAAACCATCAATCGTTCATCTTTAAGATGGACGTAAGGGTGTGCTCCCTCGTTTAAAATCCAACGATTCAAAATATTATCATTTTTATTTATAAATTTTTAATTTTATGTATTAATACTATTCATATTAAAAATTATACACATCGAAAAAATTAGATCTAAAATCCACCTTAAAAATTGATAAAAAAAAAGAAGAAGGGCCGCATATACACAAGTGAGTCCTAAGGCTCATAAAAACCTCGTGCAAGAGAAAGTTACCGGTAACGTGGGCTCTGATTGGGCAAGCCCATGTGGGATGCCAGCTGGCAATTAAACCTCGAGATACGAAAGAGAGGGGGGAGTTTTAGAGAGAGAAAGACGGTAATTATTGTAGAGAGAGAAAAAAAGGGTTTCGAAATAGTGAGAGAGGGGGACTTTTCTCTTCGTATTTCGAACCCGTTAAATACCGCGGTTTTGTACAGAAAAAAACAACAAAAAAAAAACCACGTCTCGTCTCCCTCTCCCTCTCCCTCTCCCTCTCCCTCTCCCTTCTTCGGATATAAATGTGTGAGTCATCACTCGTTCTTCTGCGACGTTTTTGACCCACCCATGCGAAGGTTCTCTGAAAACAAAACACCCAACAAGAAAAAGTAGAAGAAAAAGGGGGAAAAATTCTTATTTTCCATTGAAACTTTCTGTAAGTTCAGTGCTTTTTCCTCTTTCCAATCGTCTTATTTGTTTTATATTATGAGATTCGATTGTTTCTCGAATTTGTAGCGCAAAATTCTATTTTTTTTGTGGTGATTAATGAGAGATTTGGGATTTAAGTAATATTTATATTTTATTTGTTTCGGTTACCGTATGGTGGAGATCTTTAATTGACTATGGAAATATACCTTGTTCTTGTTTAATTATTATTTTTTATCTCTTTTTATTTTATTTTATTTTATTTGATTTTATACCCTTAATTATTGAATATCTAGAAACCAAATTTATGTAGATTTTTTTATTTTAGATGGTTGAACTATCTTTTCTTTTTGTCTAAAATTCTGAATCTGCCAGCGTTATCTCTTATGTGATCGGGGAAGACATGCTATTTTTAATGTCATATTAGAGGTTGAATTTATTGTAATATGGATCTCTATTTTTTGCAATTCTCTGTTTTTCTCGAAGTTTTTTTATATATTTATGTTCTTAGGCTGGCATATTTGAGTAATTTTTTATGAATTTCTATATGAAAAATCACACCTTTTTCTTGTTTTTAGTTGAAATTAAGTGTCAACTAAAAAATAAAAACTCTGCTTTCCTTTTTTCCTTCGGAGGCCAGAATGAATATTTCCTTTTTATATACTCATGTCTGTGTTTGAATATATTTTGCTACGTGCGATTATTTCTCAGATCTATGTTGTTCTTATTCATATTTTTACAAATAAAATTAAAAGATGCACTTTTTAAATAGCTTTTATTCATGAGTACATTTTTTCCCCCCTTTCAAATTGAAAGCTGGTGGTTAGATTAATTCTTCCCGAGTCTTTTTATTGTTTCTTTATGACTGTTGAAAGCTCCAGAAACTTTGTCAGTTTAGCTTCTTGTTGGACTTAACAGTAATTACTTCTTTTAGGGCATATATTTGAACTCCATGGTATTTTATGTTTTTCTTCGGATAAGAATGTTTGCTTTGTCCTCATGTTACTCTTTTGTGTTTTTAATTAGTGTCTATATTTTGCTCTTCCTTAATTTCATGTATATTCTTTAAGCTTATTCATTCTTACCTTATTCGTTAGTCTTTCCTTCTCTTCTTGATTTTGAAGCTTCTTTTATTGTGAATTCATGCTATGTGAGGTCTTGTTATGATTTCATTTCGTGGTAATTGAATAAAATTATTTTCACTGTCATAGTTCCTGTAAATTTATTTTCATTGTCGTAGTTCCTGTAAATTTTCAAAATTTACTTTGAGTCCCTCTTAGTGCAGCCTTCGTGTTCCAGCGCTTTTAATGAAACCCAATTTGTTCTTTTTATGTTTTTGTATCATTCTTCAGAAGAAAGTATTTTTCTGTGATTTTTCAGTGAGTGCTTTATTTTTTTTGTGACTTTGGACTCCAACTTTTATATTTGTACCTTTTAAAAAAGAATGCTCCATATTGGGTGTTATTTCTCTCATATTAAAGAAAGGAGATCCTCATCAACATTGGCATGAATTCAATTCCTTAGGGGAAAGAAAATGGCGAGCAAGCGTATACAAAAGGAGCTCCTGGATTTGCAGAAAGACCCACCAACTTCTTGCAGTGCAGGACCCGTTGATGAAGATTTGTTCCATTGGCAGGCTACTATAATGGGACCATCTGATAGCCCATATGCTGGAGGGCTCTTCTTTGTTTCGATACGTTTCCCTCCGGACTATCCTTTTAAGCCACCCAAAGTCAATTTCATGACCAAGGTTCACATCTTTCGTTTTCGTTGAAATATGATTAATATAATCGTGGGTTTGATTATTTTCTTCCTTGCAGTTCTCTTTTTCTTTCTTGGAGTTAGATTTGTTACTTACATTATGACTATCTCTACCATTGATCGCTTTTATTTGTAACTTTGATTTTACGTTTGGATTGGTGGTCCTTTGTGTGTTAAGAACTTCCCGTAACAAAAGATTATTAGATGAAGAGAGGACGGTCTCCTGTAGAAGAAGTTCGAGGATACGGGAGCCTATAACATTGATTTGGTGGGACTCCTAGAAGAGATAGGTGATGTGTTTGCTGAATTTATGGATGATATCGACTAAATTTCTCATTGTTTCCTAGAAAGTAAGGGGCAAAGAATGGGGTCGGGTTGGGTTTTGGATTGGGCTATTACTCTACCCAAAGTACCCATGTTGATACGATATGTCATAGATATGAAATATGATTTTATATCAGTGTTTTACAGCAAGGACAAGGGTCAGGACTCACTAGGATTCTGAGCTCAATTCAGGCAACTCGACTTGCTTAGTCTATCAAAGACTTTGCTAACCTCTAGAAAAATTAACATGAACATGAGAATCAGTGACGGTTCCCATTGTCTTTGATCTGGACTCAGCAAACTGCCAGTCCGAGTACCTTTGGCGAGCCTGAACTCGCCAAGTGTCCGAACACTTTGAATTACAGATTTGGTTGTTCGAAACAGGGGAAATAGTGCATTGGTCATTTATAGTGACGATGGTGAGATCATCAAGAGCTATGTGCCACTGAGGAGAATACTTAACACTGGTTGAGTGGAAACTATGTGTCATTATTAGGTATTAGGTTATTGAAGTTTCCAAGAGAAGTGTTTAAAAAAAAAAAAAAAAAAAAGAAGAGAGAGAGTTTCCAAGAGAAACACAACTATTTTGGTCAACTTCTTGAATATTTTGGGAGGAATATAATAGTAGACAGTCAGCTGACCGATAGGTTCGTAGAGATGGCACTGGTTTTTGGCATTATATGCCTTCATATATGAATTACACCATTGCACTATTTGTTTCATCCTTTTCATTGTGTATCTTTTGTAAACATGTTTTAAATAAATTTTACATGTTTTTATCTCAATTATTTTTTTTAACATGTTTAAAAAAGGATAGGGAAATTTACTCTAATATGCCTCATTTTTTTTGGAATTAAAAATCTATCCCAATATGTTGTAATTAACACTCATGTCTTTATTTTTCATTTGTTTTAATTTTGTCGTCATTCTAGAATTTGAACCCAAATACTCACCCTACATAACCCATCTCTTCCCCCTATCTCTTGGTTTTTTTTTTTTGTTTTTTCAAAAATTGGTTTAGATTTTGAAACTTCATACCAAAATGTGGACAGAGAACGATTTTGGAATTACAATTTTTGAACTGATTTGTTAATACTTTACGTTTGGATATTAAAAGTCCGAACCATTGGCATTTTGGGAAAAACTAAGTCAGAAAATGGGGACATAAGCGTAAATAACAACATATTATGTTATGGATAGATTTTTAATTATGAAAAAATAGGGGATATTAGCTTAAACTTCCCAAAAAGATATAGCAAAAATATAATCAGGATGTAATAATCAAGCTAAAATGATAACATTGGTCGTGCCCTACATTGTATCACATATACTGAGTTGCCAAAGTTACTATAGCATATGCTTTTTCTGATGGATATATGGCACATCATTTGCTTGAAAATCTCAATATATGTGTATGGCTGATTATATATAATGTCGTACAAAAAATAGGGGATATTAGCTTAAATTTCCAAAAAAGCTATAGCAAAAATATAATCAGGAATTCAGGATGTAATAATGAGGTTAAAATGATACAATTGGCCGTGCCCTACATTGCATCACATATACTGAGTTACCAAAGTTACTATAGCATATACTTTTTCTGATGGATATATGGCACATCATTTGCTTGAAAATCTCAATATATGTGTATGCCTGATTATATATAATATAGAACATACGAGTTGTTTTTGTACATAATACCATTACTATCTATAAATATATATCATAGTCTACTTTTCTAATAGTTTGTAAGAGTTTTGGTGTGATTAAGGCAGATATATAGAAACTGGCAGAGAAATGCAAAATTGGGGTGAGCTTGCCTGCCATCTTATTTCTTTCTCTTGGTTAATGAAGTGTTTTCTCTTCAGTCCTCCTTAAGAGTCAGCAGAGAATTAGTTCGAATGGAATTTAATGAAGGATTCTTTGTCAAGGAAAACTTGGTGGGCCTCATAAGGTCTCATTTTGCAATACTTCTATTTGGTCTTTGAATTTGCTGATAGACTCTCAATACTAAATTTCATGGTATTTCCTTAAGCATTTGGAGTAGTTCCCTCTCCATATTCTTATGAATATATGCTGATGAGATTTTCTGATCTACATTGCTCCAAGATAGTATTATCTTTGTCATGCCATGTCAATAAGGGTACAAACTTCCTTCAATAAAATAAAATAAAATAAAAATAATACTAGTTGTGGTAGATGAGTTGAACGTTTTTTTATTTATTGAAGTTGACTATTGTTGTAGCACTACTTTTTGGTTACAATAATTGTTCCAGCACTACTTTTGGGTTACAATAATTGTTCCAGCACTTTGGTTACAACCTCTATAACTCAAAAATTCTTCTATGCTTCTCTTCTGACTATAAAATTCTTACATTATCTTTTTCACTGTTATGATCTCTGCTAGTTTTTCTATCACAAAAATCATTATAAGCCTGCAATGCTTATGTTCTTCCTTGTTCAAGTAAATGCAGATCTGTGTACGTGACAAATTGTGCATGATTTAAACCCCCCCCACCCCACACAATAAACCAAAAACCTACTACCCCCTCCTTCTCTCTCTCTCTCTCTCTCTTCATATATATATATATATATATATATATATATCTTTTTTCTACACACAAATGTTCACATTCACATTAACATGTGCGCAACCACACTTGATTGTGAATATATGGCCTAGCTATCTATCTCTTCCCTACACAAACATTCACATTCACATTCACAGTCACAGTAAGTCCATTTCTGTCCTCTCTGTTTCCATTCACCTGCCACTTAAAACAAATGATTTTTTGCTTAGCTCGGTTTTTTTTTTTTAATGCTTGCCTTGCAAAAACCAGGTTTATCACCCCAACATAAACTCAAATGGTAGCATCTGCCTTGACATTCTCAAGGAGCAATGGAGCCCTGCTCTTACCATTTCAAAGGTCCTTCTCTCTATCTCTTCTCTCCTCACCGATCCTAATCCTGATGACCCTCTCGTCCCGGAGATCGCCCATGTCTACAAGAACCAGAGATCCAGGTATGAGGAGACTGCAAGAGCCTGGACTCAGAAGTATGCCATGAACTGAGACGAGAGAAGGAAACCCAATACGCACGTTGAATTTTCTGCAAGCCTTTTGTATGTTTAACATCAAATACTCATACTTCGAAGCTTTTTAGATTGGTCGGCTGTGTGGTTCTTGATTTGGTTTGTGTTGTATGCCGATGAACTAATAATTTCTCGGGTCTCATTTGTATGAACAATTTCAGATGTTTACATAAAGGCTATCATTTCGAAATATGTGCTCCCATAATAGACTTATGGGCAATGTGGGTTCTTGATCTAGGCATTTTTTTGCTAGTCCTTTGGATGCATAAGACCATAATCTGGCCCTCATCCTTTGATTGTATTGATGCCCTGACATTCATTCTATTATGAACTCTGTTGTCATCTAAAACATAATATTTGAGACATAGTAATATGACCATTTATCATTGGTGCAAGAAGTTCACAATCATTTCAAACCGTTAGATTCGAAATCTAACGATTAGTGGTGTACCATTGATTCCATTCAAAGTTGAATTTTTTTATCCGAGATTAATAAACAATCTTAACTGCTTTATTTCACATTTGAAGGCTATTTAGTGATGGTGACCGTATATCAAAGGTAAATACACAATCCTTCTCAATAAATGCCAACATAGTTTTTGATGAGCTTTTGGTAGGGTTATTACCGTGCAAACTATGGTCCCGGGGGACCTATGAATCCTTTTCTTTTGTTTGTTGTTGGAAAAGAAGATTAATTGGAGGGATTGAATATCCTATCATGCTAGCATTTTTTTCCACACCGTCAACTTTATATTATAAAAGTAAGATGCACCTCAAAAGTCCAATAAGTCCAATATTATTAGTATCGTAGAGAACGCTTCAATTAATCATCTTTGACCTTGAGAAGTATAAAAAAAAAAAACAAAAATTGAGTCTGGAAATAGTCCACCTCGGAACACGTTATTTGGACGACCGTATGGTGTATGTACACGCACATATATGCATATTAAATTGGCTAAACCACCTTACAAAACCATGTAAAAGTAGTCGATTCATCCATCATTAGATTTGTTACTTTGTATGGTTCGTTTAACTAAGGTCTTGTTATTTTATATGGTTCTTTTAACTAAGTTCCCAATAAACAATTCTAAAAAGAAATATGGATTTTGAGTTTTCAAACGCGTAGACTTACTTCTTCCCACTAAATGGACAATTCATGAACCTAAACTAGTGGACTCATATTCCCCCTATTTTTATATGGGGACAATCCATGAACCTAAACTAGTGGACTCATCTTCCCCCTATTTTTATATGAATTCATTAGGCAAGAGCTTCATGTGTGCAAGAATTGAGGTTCAACGGATTTTCTAGGGGAAAAAGTTTACATAAGGGCGCACCTCAAAAATTCATTAGAAGAGATTTGTTTCGATGCTAAAAAAAACCCTCAATTTGACCATCTCAATCTCAAGATGTAAGGATACGAGAAAAAATAGATTTTAAGTCTTGAAAATAATGCATCTTGTAATATATTATCTAGACCGGCAATTTTCAAGATTTTAAGTGTGCAAAGATCTGTTCGATCTACATTATTTTTTAATCTTTAAATTTTATAATTAGGGATAAAAATAAATTTTCAAGCCATTAAAAAGATCCTTGATATTGAAACTAACATCTTTCAGTACTATTTGAAGGTGCGCCTTACTTTGATTGATTAGGGCCTCAACCTTATACAAACCACACTCTTTTCTAAGTAGACTAGGTTCTTATAAAAGTCTTTTCACAGATATAAATTTGGAATGCACATGAAACACAAAGGGCTTATCACTACTTCAGAAGTAGTGAGGAAACTCTAATTCTGGTTTCCAAATCTCGGTAACAAGAGCATCAAAACATGCATTGCTCTCTTGAGTGGTGGAAGATGCGGCTTGGGAAGACGCATACTCCCGAGCTTCAGAAGTGGTGGCTTCTATGGGGGAGCATGAAAGCTGTGGCTCCCCTTATCTTACACTAATTCAGAAGCAGCAGCATGAATAATAACATAGCACTTCTCATTAGTGCTACTATTCAGTGAAGATGCGGCTTCCTGTTATCAAACACGCCTGCAATGTGGGAGAAGTCGTAGATGTCACATGAAATTATCGTCTCTGGGACATTCGCACAGGTCCAGGCACTTCAGGGGCATGAGTAGAAGGACCGCAGTGAGGGGTTGGCATGCTTAGTTTGGGACAAGTCCCATGACTTTACAGCCACTGCATCATCACAAGATGGGAGGCGAGATCAACTCGTGAGCCCTGTACAGAGTGGTTGGCATAGGAGAAGTGCAGCATGCTATACCCACCTGAGGGAACAGCTGCCTGGAATACCGTTCAATTGGGGAGAGGGACACCCAGTGAAGGGGATAAAATTCTCTGACAAGGATTCGTACGCAATGTACTATCTCCATGGATCACAGCGGCCCTGATTTTTATCACTAATTGTTTTCTTATCTCTGTTTAAATCGGAAGAACGACGAGATGGGCATCCTCGATTTTCATTCCTAATTTTTATTCTCATCATATTTCTGAGGTTGGAGAAGTGAAATGGCTCTTTCAATGTTCAACTGCTTCCATGTTCTAATGTCAAAATAATGTTACTTTGTAACCAATAATCAACATTATGGTTGTATTGGAAACCTTAACTAGGACTGTGGCAGACCTGATGTTGAGGCATTGTTCTTGAGTACTTTGGGATTGCCTGTTTGCAGACACTAGAAGTTTTCTTTTGTGAATTGTCTCTTAGATTAGTCTACCTATAGAAGTAACTTTTAGTTTTCAATAAACTTGGTACTATATATTTTGAGTAGGTTAAGTGAAGACTCAATCAAAGGAAGTAGGCTAATTTTTTTCGCCATCTCTCTCGTCTTTTATCGTTGCGTCCCAGGTGCAACATGGCACGTCTTTGAGGCCCTAAATTATTTGTCTGTGCTGCATGGGATTAAATGCTAGTCACATGCAATTTGAGAAGTCGAGGAGAGCTGAGAACCACAAAACCGAAAGGACTGTTTGCAAGTCTATTTTTCAGGACTGTAATTTTCCTTCTAAAATCCATGCTGCTCCAACATATATTCTGGTGCTTCTTATTTAAGTGACAGCCAGAATGAGTCCTATTGGCATCTTTGGATGCTAAATTTTAACCTGGTTTAGGTGTGTACGCACTCGGAAAACACCGGCACATCATGATTAAATCAAAAATACGAATACAGATCTCTATTTAAAGGCAAAAGCGTCGCATTTTAATGAGAACTCAATACGGAAATTGAGATGAACATGTGTAACAGCCAAACTAGGGGTTAAACATTCATATACAAGAAGGGATGCTAATATCAAGCAGCAGTACTGAGACATGAATACAACCTCAACATGAATGCATTTTGGCATCAACCAGATGTGATACAAACAAGCATAGAAAGTGTGATCACATTTTTCTAATTAAAGTCTTTGAAAAACACAAGACGAAAAGGTATCAAAAGGAGTTCCCATTCAAATAAAAAAAAGAAAAGGGATTTTCAGGCCCACCCATGAGTACTGCACACCACCATTTTTACATGCGTTAGGGTATGTAAACCCCTCAAATGTCATTCTGGAAAAGGTTATAAGATTGCTTTAATTTGTTTATGTTATTTATATCAAAGACGTGTAATTTGGAAAAATGAAGTTTAATTCCCCAAAGAAGTATTGGCCCACCGAAAAACAATTTGTATTTTGGAAATTTATTAAACTACATGTAAGATTTATGCTACTTAAAATTCACCCCATATTTTTTAATAGGAAAGTAATACAATGAGAACATTTATTTTTGGTAGAATGAAGTCACAATCACTTTTTGTCCGTTGGATTTTAAATCAAATGGCTGTGAGTGTGTCATTGACTATATTCAAATTTTTTTAAAAAAATTCTCAAACTTCGTGACACAACCCCAAACCGTTCAATTTGAAATTAGATTGCTAGAGGTATTTGTGACCACCTTATAACAAAAATAAATAATCTCATGGTATACAATCCTTTCTTAATAGCCTATCATTCTTTTAATCAAATTTAAAATAATCCATTAAATGACACATCAAAATGAGTTTTGAAATTTATCAAATCACATCATAGGTAAAATGTTTAACAAATCAACTTTTAATGTTTATTTTAATAATTTCCTCTCGTTTTTTTTCTTTTTACTTTGAGCATGTTTAACAGCCTAGCCCCAACCAATCCATTTCAAATTCAAATATGGCAGTTAAAAGTTGATCATGATTTTTTTGTACCAAAAACATAATATCCTCTCAAACTTTTGCAAACCTTTTCATCTCTAATTATGGGTACTTCGCGTACACTCATGACAAGCCCAAATATTTTAATAGGTGCAAGAAAAGAAAAAGAAAACAAGAGAGAAAACAAAGAAAGAAAATGTTTATATAATGTGCCAACCTTATATTATACGGAGTAAGGTTTACCTAAAAAAACCCACTAAAGAAGGTTATTCCTATGCTAGAAAAACCCTCAAATCGATCATCCCAAAGACTTGGAGATTCATAAACATAAAAAAAAAATAGATTTCTAGTCCTAAAAGTAATTTATTTTCTAACACATTGTCCAGACTGTCCATTTTCAAGATTTTAAAGTGTCTATAGATCTGCTTGATCGTCGCCATTTCTAAAACTTTAAATTTCATAATTGGGGGCATTAATAGATTTTCATATCATTGCAAGGCTTGTGACTGAAATTGCATTTTTGGCATAGTTTTGAGGTGCACCTTGCTTCAATAGTATATGGTTGCCACCTTATACAAACCTCACCCAACAAAAAAACAAGGTCTAATGGATTTTGATTGGGTGAAGTCTCAAAAATTTTATTAGGTTATAGAAAGAGAGAGAGAGAGAGAGAGAGAGATGCTGAAAGTAAGTCCTTATTTTTTAAGTAATGTGTAGTGAATTCAAGTAGGTTGGTAAAGTTATATGAATCTTCTTTGTATCCTTAAAAGTTCAAGCGGGCCATATGTCCTTGATCCCCAAATCTACTTTTGTTTATGCTTTTATGAGAGAGAGAGATTATTATTTTATGATTCAGGTGGTTTTCTTGTTTTGGAAAGGTTACAAGCAAAAGATGGAAAAAAGTGTGAAGTATTTCCTCAACAAAGGCTCGTGAAAATCAAATAGCTTTACCATCACTATCATGAAAACCCAAAATTATTGCTGACATTTTTAGAAAGCTGGGCATTCTATGCGGTACTTCATCAAATACTTAATTTTTAGGGTTGTATATTCAGGATTGTTTATCTTCAAAACAAAACAAAAAAATTATGATCAAAATGATCTTTAATTTTTAGATTAGAAATCAAGTGGCCATAAACGTGTCACATTTTTTGAAAAAAAATTTCATAGACTTTGAACACGGTCAATAGCATACCTCTAACAATCAGATGTTATATTTAATAGTTCTCTCCACCTATGAAATGGATAAAAATGGATGGCATGTCTTCATTGAGATTAAAAAAACCATCGTCCAAGGTTTTATTTAAAGTTTTTCATGAGTTTCTTCATCGGGCTTAAGAAAATATGTACCAAAATTCTAGACAGACAAATTCTCATGAGGCCCTCAAACTAGAAGAAGGTAAATCACTGTAGCAGGTAACCAACTATTGTCCCAAACACAAAAACATATTCTAAGTACTTAGGGCTGTTAATGGGTTGCCTCTTGCTAGTCTGGCTTGAAATTTATTTAAGTATATTACATATAATAAATAAATATTTTTCCACATTTATATAGAGCCCAAAACGATTTTGTGGGTCCCAGCTTGGCTTGAGCCTAGTTATTACAAATTTTGACAGACACAGAAACTAAATTTTTGCGCCGAGGCTGCCATAAACTATTTTGGGCTGGGCTCGAGCCAAGGCTAGCTAAGCCAAACCTGGTCCATCAACAACACTGTTTAAAATAAATATAATTTAAATGTCCAAATCACCTTACAAAATCATTAAAGCAGTCAAAACCATCCAATTTCACATTATGATGGTTCCTTTTTATGTTTTTTTCACTCCAGTGTCCCCTCTAAAAATATGTTTGGAAAATAACTAGATTGCCCTAATTTAGATTGACAACTTTAAATAAATAGGGACATTTCAATAATTTAGCCCACCTAAGTAGACATAGCCAAATGATTCCTACCGTGGTTGTTTAAGATTTGCAAATATTAAACATGGATTTACAATGAAAAAATGGTAAGTTTGTTGTTGCTAACAATGAACATAGCTTCATTTTCATGCCGTTTAACTCAAAAGTAATAACAACAACAACAATAACAACAATGCATCTTCCATGTCAAACTTAGGAACTCAAAAATTGATTTCCAATGGAAAAAAATGAGTTCCATATTGCTAACCCTCAATAAAGAGGCGTAAAAATGCCATCCCTCTTATAATAAAAATACTCTTTTTCCTGCCAACTTACCACTACAAAACAAAGATTTTCATTGAAAAAAAAAAGGAAAAAGAAGAGTTTTGCGATCTTATACTTGAAGTCTTGAACATGCAGGGTAAAACAAATATTTTTCTCGTGCCACTTATTTCAAGCATAATATCATATAGGGCAAGCTTTTTCTATTTCCTCTACAGCATAAAACTTATATATTTCTCCTTATCCAACCGTCCATTCTGAATAGACTGCTGAGATGACCCCAATCATAATATATGTGTCTAAATTATTTCAGTTTTTTTTTTAAAAAAATTTTAGAATATATTTTGACAGCAAATTTTGGGAGTTCTCCTCTCTTAAACTCGCACTCGTAAAAAAAAAAAAAAAAAAAAAATCCCAAAAAATAAAATGATCAAACTACTCTTGATTTTTATATTTTATAAAAAAAATTAATTTTTTTTTTAAGTGTGCCCCATTGAGAAAATAACACATACCAAATTTTATATTCATACAATTTGCAAAAAAAAAAAAAAAAGCTAAATTAAAACGCTCGTAAGGCGTTGGATCCATATCAAACAATCGGTGTACGTGAGAGACATCATATATCTTCTATGATGTAGGGGAAATATCATGATCAATATATTTAAGTAAAAAAAAATATGTTCAACATTTGAAAGCCTAAATAAGCTAGGGTGTCTTGAAAGCCTAAATAAGCTAGGTTTGTCTCACGGGCCGTGAAGTGGGCCTGTGTACTAGATGCCTTGTGTTTAGGCCCTTTGGGATTCCAAACTAGTAGATGCCTTTGTTTAGGCATTTATGGTAATTTGATTATTTTTTGACACACATTTTCAAAAGCTGGCAACATAAAATGCAACTTCAAAAACAATTATCCCATTGTTACATGACAAGACCTATATGGCCCAAGCTACCTCATGTCTATGAAACGTACATCGCATGCGCCATCTCAAATGCTTAATTTCTATACTACCCCTCAATACGATTTAAGCTTCTTTTTTTTTTTCTTTTTTTTTTTTAAAAACATTAACACAACTAATTTAAGCATTATTTGTTTAGGTAAGGTATCTAAAGGGAAAAGTTCGTTTGAGTTTGCAACCTTAAAATGTAGAATCACATATGCACTTCAAAAATCTATGGGAAATATTGTTTTATGTTGAAAAACCCTCTAATTGATCATCTCAATATCGATATGTATAACTATGAAAAAAAAAAGCTTTTGAGTCCTAGAAATGGTGCATCTTGCAACACATTATCTAGACCATCTATTTTCAAGATTTTCATATATTTATAAATCTTCTTGATTTTAACCATTTTTAGAATTTTAAAATTTTACTAAATTAGATATGAAAATAGATTTTAAGATAATCCTAAGAATTTTTTACAAC